CACGCACGTGCACGCGCGCGCGCGTGGCGTTGAATTCGGGGGCTGGCTGGCTGGCTTGGTTCTTGATTGACCGGTTTCGCGCCCGCGTGGGGAGGCCTCCCGACCCCCCGCCGTCTAGTTAAGTAAATAAAGTGAAGAAATCCGCTAGGGCACCCTCCGCCAGGTCGCAATGCCTGACGGAGGGTGCCCGAGGCAGGGAAGGTTTTCTTCATTCACCCCTTCGCCTACACGGAGCTTTTCTTAATTACATCAACGTAACGTCCGGCACGCTTGCATAGTATACCGGCCAACACGACGAACTTTTTTCCCGTCCGATCCTGGGATCGAACTCGTTACCTTTGCGGTACAAAGCCATCACGCTAACCGTTACGCCACACAACCGGTGACGAACTCGGCTTTTTTTCGTGCTTATGACTTGTTAAATCGTCGCCGGTTGAATTATTTTCTGGCTTATCTATATCGAGTCTACATAAGCCAGTTTGCGGCGGTGTTTCGGTGTGATCAGCATGGAGTAGCGGGCTAAGAGGAGTGAATGGGATAGAAGATTGGAAGGATATGGTAGCAGGTTCGAGACGCAGGTAGGGTAAAAAATAAAAAATCGAGGTAAGCGAATTAATTGTAAAATTGTAGGGTAGCTAATCCCATCCCGACCCCTTGCGTCAGGGTTTACCGAATTCCGGTTACCTGACGTTCAGGGCTCCGGTTACCTTAAACCAGGGTTCTATGGTTAGGTAACCGCAGAACCTGGGGGTTAAAAAAATCCCTTAACTAGCGGGATTTAAATAAGATAATAAATATGTTAAATTAAGTAAAAAAAGTGATAATAGAGAAAAAGAAAAAATTCTAAGTCTTTAAGATGTATTTTTTTTATAAGTTAAAAAGCAAAAATAATTAATATAAGTTATTAGGTATTAACTAATATGAACTAATTATTATGCAGTCTAAATTAATTAAAGTGCTTATTTTTCTTAAAGTTACACGGTATATAAGAAAAGAAAAAAATAGTAAGATCTAAGGAAATATTTTTTCTAAGTTAAGTAGAACTGATACGTAATATACATATTAATTAAAATACACTGATTAATTTATCTAATTGCAATAGAGCAGTTGAAATAAGTCTTTGTGCAAATAATTAATTTAATTATGAGCAAAATTGCAAACACAATCTTAGCCTTTATAATGAAGTAATAAAATAATAAAGTAATTAAATTAATAAATTGCTCATATTTATTAAAGTTAAAAAAAGACATAAAAAATATATTTTTCTTAGTTAAGTAAAACTAACTAACACTAGTTATACTTATTAATTAAATTGAACTAATTAATTAATCTATTTGTCACAGAGTTGTTGAAATAGTAGTCTTTGAGCCAGTAAATAATTCTAAGTAAAATTGCAAAGACAATCTAATAAAGTGCTCATATTAACTAAAGTATCTAACTAATAAAAAACATGAAATACCAATTAAAAGATATTATAATTACAATAATTTTATTAACATTGTATAATACAATAATTTCTACATATTAGTAGCTAATTTCAAACTAAACTTTTGAAATATTAATATTTTCCACTTCAATCTGTTTAAAAAGTCATGGATTTTCACTCAAATTAAACGTGTCAAAAACATAAATGTTTTCTTTCAATGTTTCATGCTAAAAACTCATGCATATATATCCATGGCTTTTTACTCAATTCGTGGATTTCTAAACTGAACTTTAAATTTGCTTAATTGAAATTGACTCGAATATTAATAGTTGATAATAAATTAGCAAGTATACACAAGTTCAATTATATATCACTGAAATTGATAAAAATTAAATTAAATTAAACACTTACAGATAAAGTTAAATAATTTTATTTAATGGCATTACACAAATTCATATATAAGTTAGATCGTTACATTACAAATATTAATTATATTATTATAACATACTCTTACTCTAACTACAATAGAACAGCATTTATAATTAATAATTTTTATTTATTACAAAGATTAATTACAATTGCTATAATTAGAAACATTATTATTAAAAATTCAAATCATGAGTTAGACATGAAATAATGAAAGGAAAAATGTGTGTTTTGACATATTTATATTGAGTTAAAATCCATGGTTTAGTAAATAATTGATAAAAAATTACATGATTAAATGAGTCAATATATTTGTATATCTTGACAAGTGACTTGGGACCTTTCTAATTCTTAAATATATACTCAATATAATATATTGTAAAGCCAATCGGTTGTTGTCCACTTCACTTTGTCTTGATTTATCTAATTACAAAAGACATCGAAGTCATCAGAGGCCAGAAGTTTAAGACATCCACACATGACAATGAGGTTTATCGGTTGCCGGTCACTTCACTCTGGTCTTAATTCGTCAGAATTGATAAATGAATTTCTCCCATATTACCTATAAAATGCAAAGACATAAATATTTATGTAATTCAGTGAGTGGTGAATAAAAAAAAATTACATGAGCAAATGAGTTAATGTGTTTGTATCTCTAGCAAATGATCGAGTGCCTAAAGACTCACAATGAAAGAAAACAATAATGGTATGAATAAAACAACGAATTTAAAAGGTTAACAATAATTGTATTCAATATTTAGATAAATGTATTACAAACATTTAGGTTCTTGACATTGGCTTCTCAATGCAACACATAGTAGAATCTTGACAAGTGTTTTGGGACAGCACGATCAGCAGTACTAGTCAAATTAGCAATTCGATACAACCTGTAAGAAAGATTTATTAATATTGTAATAAAATAATATTTTACAATAATTAAAATACTATAAACTAAATATAAAACTATTTGAACAAAACATTAGTCAATTTACATAAATACAAATCAAGGGGCAAGAAACCATAGGAGGGCAAATGCAGGGGCCTACCAGTGTTCGCAAGTATAGACCCAGTGTTCGCAAGTATAGACCCAGTGTTCGCAAGTATAGACCGCAAGTATGTTCGCAAGTATAGACCGGGGTTCGCAAGTATAGACCGGGGTTCGCAAGTATAGACCGGGGTTCGCAAGTATAGACCGGGGTTCGCAAGTATAGACCGGGGTTCGCAAGTACAGACCGGGGTTCACAAGTACAGACCGGGGTTCACAAGTACAGACCAGGGTTCACAAGTACAGACCAGGGTTCACAAGTACAGACCAGGGTTCACAAGTACAGACCAGGGTTCACAAGTACAGACCAGGGTTCACAAGTACAGACCAGGGTTCACAAGTACAGACCAGGGTTCACAAGTACAGACCAGGTTCACAAGTACAGACCAGAGTTCACAAGTACAGACCAGAGTTCACAAGTATAGACCAGAGTTCACAAGTATAGACCAGAGTTCACAAGTATAGACCACGGGGTATAAGCAGAGAACAGGCTGCAGGCCATTCGAGCAAGATATTCGAGTAGGATGAACCAGAGTACAAATCATTCAAGAGAAAAGTAAAAGGGAAGCCTAAAGTTATGTTAAATATGCTTAGCAAATAGATCAATAAATTAGTATATATACATATATATATATTTAATATAAAATATTTTAATACTTATATTTGTTTGCACAACAAATGTTTTAATATCCAAAGTGCTGTATCCGCAAGTCTTCACAATGGAGCCACTCAGTTGCTGTTCACTTCACATTGTCTTCATTTATCAGAACTGACGTTTGACATTCTTTTATTATACCTATAACAATAAAATAGTTTTAAATATTTATGTAATTTAAGTAACATATTTTATGAGTAAAGAATTAATGGAAATTAAAACAACAAATTGAACTATTATAATTATAATGTATTTATTTAATAATTAGATGAATATATTGTAAGTATTTAAGTCATCCTTTGAGTCATTGAACGCACGAATGAATTCCTAATGCTAATGCTAACACATCAGCATGTATTATCTGGTGTAGGGACACCGTTAAGTTAATGTTTGTGGCAGCAAGATAAGGTCCAATGCAGGCAGGTGTGTGAGCATCCTGATGCGGTCATTGTTTGCCCTGTAAACAAAAGCACCCAATTAAAAGTAATTCAGACTACTTTATAATACATTGTAAAAAGTAACTCACCAAGAGTTTTCTTCTGAGCAGTTTTACTAAGTCTTCCTAAGTGAACAGCAACATGCTAAATTTATAAGAGTTAGTATTCCAACTTAAGCACGAAGACGATTGCCAATTGATCCTTCGTAAGAGCTTATTGTTTTAATTAGAGTCGATGGAATCGGTTGGGTCGACAAGGGCAGGCGGTTCAGTGGTGGAGAATTGAATCTGGAAGAGAAAGCAAAAGGTTAGAATACATTATGATTATTACTATTATATAAACATTATTATTAATATTAATTATCATTATCACAGATTATATGATTCATGGACAAAGTGAAGTTACTGACAATGGTGGGCTTCAATTGTCACGACAAGACATGGGAAAACGAGGACTGTAGTAGTCATCCAAATAAAGGGGGCACCATGATATCAATGATCAACAAGAAAGATCATCAAGATACAACAAGCAATCACATTCACACATTCAAATATGCATTGGAGGACAAGACCTTGGGAATTGCACAAAGCCACCAATACGCGGTGGCAAACATTATGGGCATTAAAATAAGGCTCTAGACAGAACAAGCAAACCGTAGAGGCAAAAATGCAGGGCATTCGATAAGGCATTGGAGAACCAGACCACCAAGTCGAGGAGGCAAACCTTCCGGGTATTTAATAAGGCATTGGAAGACAAAGACGAGGAGACAAAAATCTGGCAATTGGACAAAGCAACCAAGACGGGAGGCAAACATAATGGGCAATAAAATAAGGCTCTAGACAAAGCAACCAAGATGGGGAGGCAAGCATTCTCGGCATTGGTCAAGGCAACAAAATCGGGGAGGCAAAAATCCTGGGCGTTCAAAGGCGCAAACAAGGCAATCGAGACTCTCTTCACAATGAAGTCCATTGATGTCGGTCACTTCACATTGTTTTGCACGGTCGCATGAACTTATACGCATTCTTGAAGCTTCTCAAGGGCATTAATACTTGAATCGGTCCCTGACGAAGAGGTCGATGTCGTGTCTATTCGGTGCGTTGATGGTGGAATTGGAAGAATCTAAAAAAAAAAATACATGTTAGCGAAGCAGACATTATTGTTGTTATAGACTGATACATACTGTATTATTATAGAGAGAAGTCCCTAATGAAGAGGTCGATGTGGTGTCTATTCGGTGCGTTGATGGTGGAATTGGAAGAATCTGAAAAAAGAATACATGTTAGCAATGCAGACATTGTTGTTGCAGACAGATACATACTGTATTATTAGAGAGAGAAGTCACTGATGAAGAGGTCGATGTGGTGTAAATTCGGTGCGTTGATGGTGGAATTGGAAGAATCTGAAAAAAAAAATACATGTTAGCAATGCAGACATTATTATTGTTATAGACAGATACATACTGTATTATTATAGAGAGAAGTCCCTAATGAAGAGGTCGATGTGGTGTCTATTCGGTGCGTTGATGGTGGAATTGGAAGAATCTGAAAAAAGAATACATGTTAGCAATGCAGACATTGTTGTTGCAGACAGATACATACTGTATTATTAGAGAGAGAAGTCACTGATGAAGAGGTCGATGTGGTGTAAATCCGGTGCGTTGATGGTGGAATTGGAAGAATCTGAAAAAAGAAAACATGTTAGCAATGCAGACATTGTTGTTATAGACAGATACATACTGTATTATTATAGAGAGAAGTCCCTAATGAAGAGGTCGATGTGGTGTCTATTCGGTGCGTTGATGGTGGAATTGGAAGAATCTGAAAAAAGAATACATGTTAGCAATGCAGACGTTGTTGCAGACAGATACATACTGTATTATTAGAGAGAGAAGTCACTGATGAAGAGGTCGATGTGGTGTAAATTCGGTGCGTTGATCGTGGAATTAGAAGAATCTGAAAAAAAAATACATGTTAGCAATGCAGACATTATTATTGTTATAGACAGATACATACTGTATTATTATAGAGAGAAGTCCCTAATGAAGAGGTCGATGTGGTGTAAATTCGGTGCGTTGATGGTGGAATTGGAAGAATCTGAAAAAAGAATACATGTTAGCAATGCAGACATTGTTGTTGCAGACAGATACATACTGTATTATTAGAGAGAGAAGTCACTGATGAAGAGGTCGATGTGGTGTAAATTCGGTGCGTTGATGGTGGAATTGGAAGAATCTGAAAAAAAAAATACATGTTAGCAATGCAGACATTATTATTGTTATAGACAGATACATACTGTATTATTATAGAGAGAAGTCCCTAATGAAGAGGTCGATGTGGTGTCTATTCGGTGCGTTGATGGTGGAATTGGAAGAATCTGAAAAAAGAATACATGTTAGCAATGCAGACATTGTTGTTGCAGACAGATACATACTGTATTATTAGAGAGAGAAGTCCCTGATGAAGAGGTCGATGTGGTGTATTCGGTGCGTTGATGGTGGAATTGGAAGAATCTGAAAAAAGAAAACATGTTAGCAATGCAGACATTGTTGTTATAGACAGATACATACTGTATTATTATAGAGAGAAGTCCCTAATGAAGAGGTCGATGTGGTGTCTATTCGGTGCGTTGATGGTGGAATTGGAAGAATCTGAAAAAAGAATACATGTTAGCAATGCAGACATTGTTGTTGCAGACATACTGCATTATTAGAGAGAAGTCCCTGACAAAGAGGTCGATGTGGTGTCTATTCAGTGCGTTGATGGTGGACTTGGAAGAATCTGAAAAAAAAAAATACATGTTAGCAATGCAGACATTATTGTTGTTATAGACTGATACATACTGTATTATTAGAGAGAAAGTCCCTGACAAAGGTCGATGTGGTGTCTATTCAGTGCGTTGATGGTGGAATTGGAAGAATCTGAAAAAAAATACATGTTAGCGAAGCAGACATTGTTGTTATAGACAGATACATACTGTATTATTAGAGAGAGAAGTCACTGATGAAGAGGTCGATGTGGTGTAAATTCGGTGCGTTGATGGTGGAATTGGAAGAATCTGAAAAAAGAATACATGTTAGCAATGCAGACATTGTTGTAATAGACAGATACATACTGTATTATTGGAGAGTGAAGTCCCTGACAAAGAGGTCGATGTGGTGTCTCTTCAGTGCGTTGATGGTGGAATTGGAAGAATCTGAAAAAAGAATACATGTTAGCAATGCAGACATTGTTGTTGCAGACAGATACAAACTGTATTATTAGAGAGAGAAGTCACTGATGAAGAGGTCGATGTGGTGTAAATCCGGTGCGTTGATGGTGGAATTGGAAGAATCTGAAAAAAGAATACATGTTAGCAATGCAGACGTTGTTATAGACAGATACATACTGTATTATTATAGAGAGAAGTCCCTAATGAAGAGGTCGATGTGGTGTCTATTCGTGCGTTGATGGTGGAATTGGAAGAATCTGAAAAAAAAATACATGTTAGCAATGCAGACATTATTATTGTTATAGACAGATACATACTGTATTATTATAGAGGGAAGTCCCTAATGAAGAGGTCGATGGTGGAATTGAAAGAATCTGAAAAAAGAATACATGTTAGCAATGCAGACATTGTTGTTATAGACAGATATATACTGTATTATTAGAGAGAGAAGTCCCTGACAAAGAGGTCGATGTGGTGTCTATTCAGTGCGTTGATGGTGGAATTGGAAGAATCTGAAAAAAAAAATACATGTTAGCGATGCAGACATTATTGTTGTTATAGACTGATACATACTGTATTATTAGAGAGAGAAGTCCCTAATGAAGAGGTCGATGTGGCGTCTATTCGGTGCGTTGATGGTGGATTTGGAAAAATCTGAAAAAAAAATACATGTTAGCGATGCAGACATTATTGTTGTTATAGACTGATACATACTGTATTATTATAGAGAGAAGTCCCTAATGAAGAGGTCGATGGTGGAATTGAAAGAATCTGAAAAAAGAATACATGTTAGCAATGCAGACATTGTTGTTATAGACAGATACATACTGTATTATTAGAGAGAGAAGTCCCTGACAAAGAGGTCGATGTGGTGTCTATTCAGTGCGTTGATGGTGGAATTGGAAGAATCTGAAAAAAAAAATACATGTTAGCGATGCAGACATTATTGTTGTTATAGACTGATACATACTGTATTATTAGAGAGAGAAGTCCCTAATGAAGAGGTCGATGTGGCGTCTATTCGGTGCGTTGATGGTGGATCTGGAAAAATCTGAAAAAAAAATACATGTTAGCGATGCAGACATTATTGTTGTTATAGACTGATACATACTGTATTATTAGAGAGAGAAGTCCCTGACAAAGGTCGATGTGGTGTCTATTCAGTGCGTTGATGGTGGAATTGGAAGAATCTGAAAAAAAATACATGTAAGCAATGCAAGCATTGTTATTGATATATAGAAAGATACATACCCAATTATTAGTAAAAGACAGGTCCCTGATGAGGCATTCTGGGCAGTGCACAAAGCAAACATTCTGTGTATTGGACACAGTATCCAAGAGGTGGAGGCAAACATTCTAGGCATGAGACATGGCAACCAAGAGGGGGAAGCAAACATTCCGGGCATTGGACAAGGCAACAAAGACAAAGAGGCAAAGACCTTTGGATTCATATAGGGCTCATGACAAGGCAACCAAGACGGTAAGACAAACATTCTGGGCATTGGACAAGGTAACCAAGCGACATCAAACAAGGCAAACATTCTGGGTATTGGACAAGGCAACAAAGACAAAGAGGCAAAGACCTTTGGATTCATATAAGGCTCATGACAAGGCAACCAAGATGGTAAGACAAACATTCTGGGCATTGGACAAGGTAAGCAAGCGAGAGGAAGCAAACAATATAGGCACCAAACAAGGCAAACATTCTGGGTATTGGACACGGCAAACAAGAGGGGGAGTCAAACATTCTGGGCATTGTACAACGCAACAAAGACGGAGAGGCAAGAACCTTAGGATTCAAATAGGGTAACCAAAACGGTAAGGCATTTGACAAGGTAACCAAGCAGGGGAGGCAAACATTCTGGGCAATCAAGCAATCTGGCAATTGGACACGGCAACCAAGAAGGAGAGGCAAATACACAGATTATTTATATAAATGAGTTTTGCAAAGATCTGAAAAAAAGAAACGTGTTAGTAATTCAAGCATTGTTACTTTTACATAGACAGACGCGTATTTGAAAATATAAATGTATACATACAAAGCAGAAAATAAATATATTCCGGCAACTCTGCCATAGCATGAATATTCTCTTCACAATTTAGATCATCATTTTCATTGTGTCATTGACAGGCTTTATGTAATAGCTGCAGCACTTGATACAATTAACCTGAAAATAAAAAGTAAAAATAATGTGTTGATTTAATGTGCTTTGTGTGTAATAAAATTGCGTTATTTTAAACGATTCACACAATTGAACTTCAGCTAATATATACTATCACTAGCATTGCCATTAAAATATAAAATATAAAAGAAAAAATAACCGTATGTCATCTTGTGAAATCACTATTCTCTAATTTGCGCCAAATGCGAATAGTCGTTTGTCGCCGGCGATGACGCTACTAGTTTTAGTGCCAATTCAAAATGTCATTGACAATTGTATATGACAAATTATAAATTCGAATCTGCAAAAGTCATTCTAACTTCAAAATGATATTCAAAATCTGTTCAATATTAAAAAATAATAACATTGCACAATTTGCAATTTATTGCGCAATGTAACAATAATGTTTAAAAACTTGCACTGGTTTCAAACGTATTTATCGGTTGCAAATAGCAAGAATGCGCAGTGTTATGTTGCATTGCGTAATTTGAAATGTTAATAAAACTGGATCTTCGATGATTTAATTAACTAATAATAATAACTAAACAAGAATCACTAAGCTGTCGCACACTATTCAATTAACATACACAACAAAAATCACTATATCACTGCCTTGAAATATTAAAATACAATTACTTACCGAGAAATTTTCTGCTTCAGCATCTTTATCTTCTTTTTCGATGTTCACTCCATGACGGCCGGCAAGAGAAAGGACAGAATCCTTGTTTCCGCGCCAGTGGTGTGGCTGCAGCGCCATCTATCTGCGCGTCACATGAAACAGACATTTGACAGTTAGTTCGTCGGTCAATGACAGCCGAGCGTAGGCGGTGGCGGCAAAATCAAACTGAATTTAACAAATGATTAAATTCAAAATGACCTGCAAATATATTTATCAGAATCTTCCAGTTTTTGGGCTGAGAGTCAGCGTGTCAAACAAAACTTAACACTGAGATCCATAAACTTTTTCAGAGAAAAAAAAAATAGAAAATCGCTGCTAGTATAATAATAAAATTATTAATAATTACGCAGTATGAATGTACAATCAGTTAACTTGTATTGACAAATATATTCGTCAAGGAAAGGTATATTTGAATTTAACAAAAAAAAAAAAGGACAAATTCTCAATATTTCATATTCAACGACATTATAACAGAACATTAACAACCCGATATAAAACTTTGTTACTTTATCAACCTCTCATGTATTTCAATTGAATTGTATTTAATTTGTATCTGTACTGTTCTTCGTCTAGAAAACATTGTCAATGCCTTGAAAATATTGTAAATAGTTCAAAAATGTTGTAGGTTATCTGAAAATGTTTTAAATCGTCTTGAAATTATTGTAAATAGTTAGAAAATGTTGTAGGTTGTTTGAAAATGCTTTAAATCGTCTTGAGAGTGTTGTAAATAGTTCAAAAAAGTTGTAGGCTATCTGAAAATATTGTTTGTTATCTGAAAATGTTGTAAATAGTTCAAAAATATTATAGGTTGTTTCAAAATGCTTCAAATCATCTTGAAAATGTTGTAAATAGTTCAAAAAAGTTGTAGGTTGTGTGAAAATATTTGAAATAGTCTTGAAAATGTTGTAAATAAATAAAAAATGTTGTAGGTTATCTGAAAATGCTTTAAATCGTCTTGAAAATGTTGTAAATAGATAAAAAATGTTGTAGGTTGTTTGATAATGCTTTAAATCGTCTTGAAAATGTTGTCAAATGCATCGACATTTGTTGATTAAATATTGCCAATGCCTTAAAAATGTTGTGAATGGTTAAAAAATGTTGTAAGTTGTCTGATAATGCTTTAAATCGTTTCAAAAATGTTGCCAAATTGTCCTGAAAATGTAGATTGGCTGAAAATTTTGTAGAAAGTTCAATTCAATAAATATAAATATAAACATACATACACATATACATAAAAACGTTCTACTTGACAATTCTCGTAAGTAATTAATATATTTCTCTTCATATCCAAAACTTCTAGTCTTTGATAGAACACCAACTCGATCTACAGCATTCTTTGTCTCGATCAAATTATGTATCGATTACCATCAATGTCTTCTCAGTTGCATTATATATGAACTATCTTTTAAAATAATTTCATGAACATCATTGGAAATCTTGAGTTCAGTACTACGTTTTTAAAGTTAAGTCCGGTATATATATTTTATATACAGTCGGTCAAGTAAGAGCGTGGCCGGCTTTAACGACAGTTAATGAAAGATTTCGGTCTAATTCTTTCGTGAGCCGATAAAGTGAAGCTTTGTCCTTGATGCATTGTCAAAAAAGGTTTAGTTGCAGCTGTTCTTTTGAGAAAAAATTACGTTAGACGCCATGAGTGCTAAGTTACGCGTCGCGCTACGAGGCTGCGCCCTTTTGCATGCACCTAAAAGGTACCCAAATGCAGCAATCAGCTGCTGCTAAACATATGAGAAAGTTGAAGGCATTTGTACGGAATTCGATACACCTATATAAAGTTGCTAAAAATGTCGATGCTTTATCAGAACGTGGTTCAAATAAAAAAGAAGAAAAAAGAACAGTGAATGGGTATTTGCGGAATCCTGCTTTAACACTGCAGCAAGGGCGATCAAAATTAATGGCAAAATGTTCAGAAATATCTACAAAAATATCTATAAAACTATCTGAACCTTTTTTCGTATCCATGATCTGAAATGGCGC